TTTGGTGGGGGGTGGGTGGGGGCCATCCTCAGATTAGGTGGATTTCCTGGCGTAATTTGTGAACGAGTAAACATGATGGGGGAATGAGATTTTGGAGGTTCGAGCATTTTAATCATGCCCTTCTAGCTAAGATCGGTTATTGACTCGCATGAAGCTACACCGCAAATTAATCCCGACTAGAGCCCAAGTTTTTAAACTCTAACCAAGTGCAGTATAGGGCAAGTATTTAATTGTCAAACCCGGGCCGGTCTATGTAACCCTACTTCAATCGCTTAAGTTGTTATCTAGCAAAATAGTGTTGGGTTTAAAACAAAGAAAACTACAAAATAAACAACCAAGCAAAGAAAATCGAGGGGAATTCTATATGAGGGGACCTCACTCCGGTGTTGCTTCCCCCTAACCAACTACATCATGGTATTGAATGAAACGATGTGTGACGGGGAAATTGTGTCCTGTAGGAGGCGCAACAATGGTTGGAAACCATTCTCCCTATAGCTAGGCCAAGGTAGGTGTCAAAGGCTACAATTGTAGCCCTCTTGGCCCAAGCAATTGAGGGTTGACTTACTTTCTCCCTCAACCAAGGTTTGGACAATAGTTAGGAGGCATGGAATGACTAAGAAAACCCATCTCTAATTGAGCCTCTTAAGTTAAGGGGGCTTCTCTCTAAACTAGTTTAGGAGGCATGGAATGCCTAAGAAAACCCAACTCAAATTGAGCCTCTTAAGATAAGGGGGCTTCTCTCTAAACTATCTTAGGAGGCACGAAATGCCCAAGAACACCCAGCTCAATTTGATCCTCTTAACATAAGGAGGCTTCTCTCTAAGCTAGGTCAAAATAGCACAATCGATTGCCATGCACACAGAATGTACAATCACCATGAAAAATACCTCAATTCTTAAATTAAACACCTCCATCACACAATCATTCAATCCACATAATCAATTACATGGTAGAAGTTAGGGTTCTACAACACCCAAGTGAAACGGAAGGCTAATTCATAGCTAAGCAAAGGAAAACAACAAAAAGGAGAGAAAGAACCATGGAGAGGTGAAAATCTTCCTCCTTTGTTGCTTGAATCTCCTTTGAGAAGAAGAAATCTTCTATCATCTAGCTTGAATTGAGCCCAATCTCCTTCTTCCTCCTTTAAATGGCACTTTCTCTCTCTAGAATGGGAAGAGGAAACCTAATCTCTCACTAGAAACCCTCCTTTATTCTAAAAGTTAAAACCCTAGAAAAGCTCTCTTCTCTCCTTCAGCTCCCTTCTCCTTTTATACCCAGATCAGGCTCTGTTCATGGTCTTAGGTTTCAGTTCACGGCCGCGCTAATCAGTTCACGGTTTTAGATCTGAGTTCACGGCCGTGAACATCAGGATACGTCCTTGAACTCAGTGAACTGGATCAAAACGCATCGCTTCACTTATGGGGTTCATGGTTAGTGGTTCCAGTTCACGGTCTTAGCGACCATGAACTGCCTTGGCGTCAGTAACCTAAAAAAACCCTCTGGAAGATTTGGGATTCACGATTTGTGGTTCTAGTTTGTGGTCCTAGCGATCGTGGACATCGGTTGAATCCTCGTCTTTGCCCTGTTTTTGCTCCTTTTCTTCCAACTTTTGACTCTGGGATTGGTTTCACCTGTTAGACTCTGAAACACATTGAAACACAAGAAACCTAGCGTAAAACCACCCCTGTTGGAGCTCAATTTTCACAAACGTCAAAGAGAAACGAGGATAAAAAGTGTATAATTAGGCCCTAATCAAATATATAAAGTAAAATACTTTCCAACTGGTACATTTCTAACACCGACTGCACGGTCTCGTCCATCTTGTGGGGACGGAGTATTCTCCATGGCCGCCTCCTCCTTCAACGAGGACTCCGATGGAAGATCGGGAATGGACTCCAGGCCTCTATCCAACATTCCAGATCGGTCCCGTGTACTCATCCTCATCCTCCCCCGTGTAATCCCTATGTAATTCCAGAGATCAATGACCCGAAGGTGGCCGAACTTATAGAGCCTGGGGGAAGCTGGTGTCATCAATAGCTTCAACAAATGTTCTCATCAGCCGTAGTACATGCCATCAATGTGATTCCCTTGCCCCGTATGGCTATAGAGGATAAATTGGGATGGCATAATACATGTGATGGAGTGTTTATGGTTAAGTCTGCTTATCACCTAGCGGTTTTGGTGGATAGACAGGTTGGAGAGTGGCTATCCATGGTGAGTTGGATAGATAGGGCGAGTTGGATGCCAATGTGGGAACTCAAGATTCCGCCTAAGCTAAAATTGTTCTTGTGGAAAATTTTCAATCGGATCCTGCTTACTACTGAATCTTTGATTGAGAAAAGGGTTCAGGTGTTGCCTCGATGGCCGGTTTTGTGTTAGGAATTGGAAACGATGGAGCACCTCTTTTGGGAGGGTCTAATCGCTACAGCCCTCTAGACTCATTCGGGATTGGAGCATCTGGGGTACGGCTTGCCAAGCCAGACATTTACTTTTTACCTTAAAAAGTGATTTCTTAGGATGACCCAGCCGTCGCAGATTATCACTCTGGTGGTGCTCTTGTGGCGTATTTGGGAATCTAGAAACTAGGATGCCTCTGCTGATGCGACAATACCATGAGCAACTCCATGAATGGGTGTCCTTACCAGAGGATAGGGTGATCCGGGATCAGTTTCCTTTGAAGCAGAATTTGGGGGTGGTAGATTCGACCTCTTTCATCTGTATGTGGGATGGGGCGGTACATCCTAACTCACATTCAGTGGGAGACTTGATCTTAAAAGATTGTGGAGGGTCTGTGGTCTTAGCAAGAGGAGTGGTTCTTGAAGACATTTTCGACCCTCTTTTGTTGGAAACTATTGTCCTCCGTGAAGCTATTCAGTGGTGACAGAGTCTTGGCATTGCTCAAGTTTTGTTTGAAGGTGACACGGAAGGTGCTCATTGATAAGATTAATGCCAAGGATGTGCAAGACAACCGTGTTTGGGTTATTCTCCAGCGGATTCTGTGTATGTTGGATATGAATTGTGTTTTTTAGGTTCGATTTGTAGGTGAGATTAGCAATACGGTAGCCCATTCAGTGGTTAGGAAGGCCCTTTCTTTGCATCCGACTTCGTGTCGATTGTATGATTTTCGTGCCTAGGTTGGGTTCAGGATGTAATTCATGATATTTTTATCAATCAATATGATTATCTTTTGTTTAAAAATTTATCATAACCATAAAGTTCACCATATCATCCAACCAAGCAAACTTTATGGAGGATAACAACTCCTCTTCCTTGATTCCCAACCTTAATTCCTTTATTATTAACAAAAATATTAATCATCTCATCAATTTGTATTACGCAAAATTTCAGTTAATTATTACATCACAGTTTAATAAGATGCGATACTTTTCATAACTTGATTTTATTATTAGACGACACATAAATAAAAATTTGCGTAATATAGTTCTTTAACAATTATGTAAATTGCAAACGTATGGCGTTAGTATACTGTAATTATCAATACACGAAGTAAAGCTTATGGAGAAATAGTGATATCCTGCGTACCAATTTAATAAAAATATTATGTAGGTCTTCTGTAATACAAGTTTAAACAAAAAATAATTTATTATTAACTAACCTATTGATAACTACATCAATTTGCATTACAAAAAGGTTGTGCAAGTTCTGTATGTATTTTGTTCAATTTGCATTATGCAAAGTTTCTATGAGGTTTGTTTGAGCCAAGTTCCTCTTTCTCTCTCTCGAAGCGCTTCAGTTGCTATCCCTCTTTACGGCTGAGGCCCGTGGGACCCTACTCGTGAGGTACACCGCGGACCCTTGTGGTCCGTTATCACTCTGACGATCAAGTTAGCACCACAATCTTAGAGAGCGAAGTGGAATAAGGTTTTAGTGAGAGAGTCTAATCTGAGTAAATGAGGTTCACCTACTCTCCTATTTATATCCGGAGTCTTGCCGATCATTGCTCCCCAAATTCGGCCAACGTCATCACTGTAATAAATGTGATCTACTATCTTTTCACCATGCTCCTCGACCATCTGACACAAATTTCAGAGATCTGAGGCGCATGACTTCACCAACTGCACCCACCATACAATTTCAACCGTTGTGCCCCTTGTCTTTATGCACCCCGTGTCAGAAGCTGGGTCCCACTCTACCAGGCTGTCAACTATCCATTTTGCCGTAACTCTGTCACCACTAGGCTCGCGTTTTGGGCCATGCTTGGCACTCTAGGCCCTTCCTTTTGTACCATTAGCTATACACCCAACAATTACCCCCTAGTTAGGCGCCTAATCTCCTTCTATTAGGGGCCTAACCATCATGTGGCGTCTACACGTCCCCCGATTCTTTTCGATTTTCAGTGGGTACCATAGTGCGCCTTCCTCTCCTCCTACGACATGTACCTCTTTTTTTGCTTTAGCCAGCTGCACACCTCTCCTTTGTCATTGTGCCTTATCACCTCAACTTATATCTCTCCGGTCCGCTTCCCTCTTTCTTTGAGGCGCGCGGTCCCGATATTTCTGCGAGGCGCTGCTTTGCCACCCTATCACTAAGTTTACTTTATCTTGCTACTCTTCTCGACGAGGCGCTTCATTTTCTATTTTTCTTGTAGCGGTGCATCTCCTTCCCTTCACACGACACCTTAGTGATCATCTTCCTCTTTCTTCTTCTTTTCCATTTACTTTCCATACGGTGACTGTTGTTTAACCATACGAAGTACCTCATCTCCTTTTTCTCATCACACGACGCCTCCCAATCCTCTGGTTCCTTCTTTTTTATTTTGGGCTTCCACGTTTATTTTTGACACAGTAACTGTTGGATTCTTCCCGATGGATTTTCGCCTCGATTGTCAAGCCTTCTCTCTCCTAACCCCGATCGAGTTTGAATTTCAAATTTCAAATTTCGAATTCGAACAAGATCGGCCACCAATTGGCCTTCTGCCACTTCTCTCTCTTATATTTTTCTCCCTATATATTCAGAATGTTCATACTTTCTCTCCACTCTCATTCACTTGGCACGAAAATCTCCCTCTCTCTACTTTCTCTCTCTAATCTGTTTCGTGCGTGCGCCTTCCACTCTCCCCCTGTGCATGCAAGCCCTCTCCCTACTAGGTCTATGCGCCTCCTGCTTGATGGCTTCCTCGAAACCAAGTTGGTCCTCCGCCTCTGCCCCCCGAGGGTGTCGCCGCCATCCATGTGCCTCAAGATGCTGTCGCCATCACCGCGCCTCAAGATGCTACCGTCGCCGCCGTAGGTATAGCTCTTCGCCACGTTCCTTAGACGGATTTCCTTCTTCCGTGTCTTGGCATATGTAGAATGCATGACTAGCCTGTTTGAGATTTGCTAGGTGCCCCGGTAGATTCGTATGCGCCCCGGGATAATGTAGTCAATTTTATCGTCTGTCTTACTCGTGATGGCTCACATGGCTCGATGGTTCGGCTTTTGAGCTTGGAGATTACCCCCACGCCCTCTTCTGATGCAGGCCCCTCCGTGCCTCAAGAATAAAGATTTCACCCATGGGAGGATGTGTGGCCTCTAAGACACCTACCTACCGGTATCGAGGGCATGTCCGAGGCGGAGGCGGGTACGAAACATGCACTAAACAGTTGTGGGTTCGCATGAAGAAGGTGATTGTGGCCGCCCAAATACCGCCTTTTTGGCAATACGCCCATGCGCATTCCATCGCTCACATCAGTGTGGGGGGTGGGGGGGGGGGAGACATATGAGTTGAGATATACCATGAATTTTTATGGTTTGGCTTACGTTTCCCCATCGACCCGGTCCTCGTAGGCATGCTTCACACTTGGGAGTGCCCTATAGGGCGCCTCTCTCTGGCCGTTATCCTTTACACTGTTGTCTTCCGGTACAAATGCTGCTTACTCTCCATCCCGCCCACCTTTAAGCTTTTATGACATTTTTTTTCTTATGGCAAAAAGCGTCAACTGCTTGAGCCTACAAAGGCGCATGAACATGGGCTATCATTTTCTTCGTTCCAGCCAAAAGCTTGGGCGTACTTGGTTCTACTATTTCTTTTTCGTGAGTCCCGGACCAATTTAAATCCTTGTGAATTTTTTAAACATCTCGCCAATTTATGAGTGATTTTATCATTTTGGGAGTGATATATAAAATGGAGCGGGTCTAACGGGTCAACCTCTAACCCATCCAACTCTACCCATAAAATCACGGGTTATTGGGTTCGGGTCATTCAGGTTATAAAAACTTATACTTTTTGGGTGGGTTGTAATTTTCCAGGTCTACCTGGAGGCAGTGGTCTGGACAGAGAATGTCAAGCTAATGGATGCCCCGTTGCCGACTGAAGGAGAAGAGGAGGAGACCAGTTAAGAGATGGACATCAATGAGGATGAAAAGTGACCTGCCCGCTGATGACTCGATATTTGCACATGTTTTCCCCTTTGTTTCTTGATCGTTTGAGATTTAATTATCGCGTCTTTGCCCTATTTTACGCTAGGTTGTGTTCCTTTGTCACATGTCAGGTCCTAGCACATAAAGTGAAGCATAGGCGCAAGTTCCATGTCAATCAGAGATCAATTGGCGATTAGGGAGAAGAAACTCTGGCATGACCTGAAGAATAATGGATTTCTACCTCACTTTATGCACAAAGAATCATGCAAGCTTGTCATTAAAAGAAAGAGGACAAGACTACGAGCGTGTGGGATCAAACGGCGACTGATTCGGAGTCCGGACGAGGGAGAAACGAAGCATTGAATATAGGGGAACAGGTTCGGCAGTAAAAACACGGGCGCGCCTAAATCAAAACACGATCGTGCCCATATTTAGGCACGACCGTGTTTTGGCCGACGCGCGCGGGCGTGTTTTTAACACGGGGCAAAGCACGGGCGGGCAAAACCAAAGCACGGCCGTGCCCTCAACCGTGTTTTGCCCAGAATCGGGTTTTTTAACCCAAATTCGAGCCAAAGGAGAGGGAGAGTTGGGTTTTGGATCCCAAACACCCAAGGGACGAACCAAAGAGAGAGAGGGCGATTTGAGGGCATTCTTGGAGTGGAATTGGAGAATTTCTTTGCCTTGGAAGCTCGAGGAACAAGCCCGGACTTGAAGACTGATCATCTGAAGATTCTTACTGCAGTCTCTCTCTTCTCTATGGAGTAACTTCCCTTCACTTAGGTTTTGAGGAACCCTAGCTATGTTTGTTTGATTGGATGATTGTATGATTACTCTGACTTGATAATCTTGAGTTCATATTCAATCTATGCATGTTTTCATGATTCAATTCTGCTTTAGTCGAGATTATTGATTCTGCTTTGATCCTATGAGAGCGAATACCTGATTAGGTCAATAGAGCACCATAGATTGATAGTAGTGGATCGATTGCTTTAGTCGAGTGTTGATTCACTTCTTTGTATCGATTGAGAACCTCTTTCGATAGAGGGAGTCTAGTTCAGAACGCCTTGATCGATTGTTCTAGATAAGGATACGTCCCTCTAGGCAATTGACTCAAGAGGGCCTTGTTTCTTTAGTCGAGACTCAAGGTCTAGTCAAGGATTCTCCGCATTGTGAATGAAAGAGAAACAAGTTAGAAATCATCAATCGTTAGTCTGGCTAGTGGCTAGGGGGAATCATATCTAAGTGAGTTCCCAACCTGTAATTAGATTAACTTTAACTGTAGTTTGCTAGAGTAGTTTTAGTTCTTTCATCTTAATCTGGTTTGCTAAATAATAAACTGAAGCTGAGTAATAGTAAGTCTAGAGACCCGTGGATTCGATATTTGTCACTTGAGCCACTATACTGCAGTCCCTTCCATTGGTTACACTTGGCCATTGTTAGGTGTTGTGTCGTAGCGAGTCAAGTTTTTGGCGCCGTTGCCGGGGACTTTCTAGAGTATTAGGAAAGGCAGAAGTTTGTTACTTTAGCGTTTTTCTTTTCTTTTCTTTTCCACCCTTGCTTTTCACTTGGGTGTTTTTGTTTTTGTTGGTGCAGATCTGAATCATGGATCCTCATGGCTTCTCCAACAATTGGGGGTATCCACCACCACCCGAGTGGTATTACCCCGAGACTCTCTGGAGCAATCAAGGAGGAGAAGACTATGGATTCGGGTTCCAGTACCTACCCCCTTACTACGGAGAACAACCGGACCCCTGGGCATATCAAGAACAACCTCATTACCAAGAAGAATTTTTCCCACAACCAGAGGGGCCATTGGAGCTGGAATTACCCATGGCGGCCTTCACGGGCCATTCTGCAGAGCCATGCTACACTCCACAGCCAGATCCACACTATGAATTGAGACTTCTCATGGAGCAGTTTGCTCGAGACTGTGATAGAACATGCTCCAGGATGGATCATTGTGTCCAGGCCTATCGTGAAACAGAGGAGATCCTCCTGAGCCTTAAGAAGAGCGTCGATGATCTTGAGCGATCTTGGGCACAACCTGCTCCAGATCACCCTTCTGCTACCATACTAGAAGAGGAGGAGGAAGAAGAAGGCTACAAGGACATTGTGGAACACACAGAAGTTGTCACGGAGAGCTCCCGTGATGGTCATGATCAGGAATGTCCTGTCGTAGCCGACCACACCTTCCCACACCCCAAACTGAGCTTTGAAGAGGCGGGCATGAGTGAGGAGATGCACGAAGTTCTCATGAAAGGAATTGCTTGGCAACTTGCTCTCCAATCCGTGATAGAAGAAGAAGAGCAAGAAAGGGTGCAGAAAGAAGTTGTGGAGGATGACGAAAGTGAAGCAGGAGGAGTTCTTGATCATTTCCCAGAGGTGATACCACATGAAGAAGGAAGGGAGGTTGAAGAAGAAATTGGCGTCCAGGCTGAGGACGGAGTTAAGGTGGAAGAGGCCTGCACCGGCCATGAGTTACATGTGATATCTCCACCAAACTTCGAGGAACTACTTAGCAAGGACCCATTTGCAGTGTCTCTTTGCCAGACCAAGGCCACATCGACATCGGTCCCTCTTGGTGGACGCGATGGTGGTCAATCGATGCTGTCATGTCTGGTTTGGGACAATGAGACGAGAGAAGAGAGGAAGAGGTCTCGAGGGTGGAGACTTCATCTGCATCAAGTGCACGAGCTTCCATCACCTGTCATACGACATGCTCGTGACTTGATACTCCACCTCGTTGACGAGAACCTCAACTTCAAGGAGGTTTTGGGGTGGACCGAAACTTAGGAGCCATCGTCCGGCTCACGACGTGAAAGAAGCGCTTGTTGGGAGGCAACCCAACCAGTCGGTTTGCATTTCTTTCCCTATTTCTCTTCGGTTGAGTCAGTTTTGTTCTTTGATTTTAGAGTCAATAACTCAACCTTTGTGAGGTTTTATGTGGTGTTTGTGTTCTGACTACTCTCTCCTCCTGGAATACACCGCCTGCCCCGTCCACCATCATTCACCCTGGATCTGGTAACTTCGTTCTACCCTCCTTATCTTTCCTCCATTGAGGACAATGCCGTGCTTAAGTGTGGGGGGATGTTCGATTATGTATGCGGGTGAATGTTTGGCTGTTTGTCTGCTTGGAGCCTAGTCCACTGTCCAAATTTTTAAATTTGAGGGCTCCAAGTACATGTTTCCTTGCAAATTGCCTACTCAGTATGCTTTAAATTGACAGTCTCTATAGTAATGTGCAACCTAGGGAGGTAGTGTATCACTATGGAGGATGTTGAAGTATAAGATTTTTCCTATCTAGCTCTCTGCTGTGCCAGTTGATTTTGTGAATTAGTGGAGCTAAGACCGTTGAATTCATGTGGTAATGGTGACTATGTTTGGATTGTGTTATGGACTCGTGTATGGAACAGGGTGCTCATGTGAAAAATGAAATGTAGTTGGTCCTCCATGTCGAAATCATCGAAATCTTAAACATGGGGTAAGCCCAACGTGTTCGGCACCGTTCATTGCACAAAATCGGGTTTTGGAAGAGATTTTAGTGATCCTTAGTGGGGTACTCCTACAAGGTGAAGCTAAGCTGTCTCTAGTACAAGTAAAACTTCCACCCGTTGAACGGTTTGCCTACTTGAGGATGTGTTTTTAAGGGCACGGATAGAGCTTCCGACCCCCCTTAATTTCATTGACCCTCCACACGAGTTGAGAAAAAGGAGTTAAAAGAAGTACTCTGGCGAGCGCCAGGTGTACAGAAATTGCTCTTGCTCGACTAATAAGGGTCGACCGTGCAAAAGACTGCAGTTGGAACCCCCGCCAAGTGAATGAAATAAGAAAAAAAAATAAAGTAAAATGAAAGCAAAAAAGGGGTTCCAACGGTGAAATGAAGTGAAAGAGCATCCCGGTACAACGAGTCCTTGGTTGTGAATGGTGTGAGTCCCTTTATCCATGAACTGACTGTCTTA